GAATGAGAGGCAGAGACTTTGGCAATTGCTGCGTAAGTCGGCTATCACCGTAAACTAATTCACGCGCAATTCACTGTCCTTTCGTGCTTAATTCTCTGGGAGACACGTCAAAAGTAAGCGTTCGAGATGGTCAAATCATCGTTTAAATTGCTTAGAAAATACTTGTTATAGTCGAAAAAGTATACTTTTACATGAAGCTTCGCAGCCCGCTGGTTCTTATTAGTCGATCTATATTGTTGTCAACATTCAGTTTGACTGCTTTGATAATTGTGTAGACCTATAGTCCAGCTTGTTTGCTATGCTACTGCAAACAAAAACTATGCGGATCATGCTGCTGTCATCCCTATTGAATATATGAGAACACTAGTGTCAAGTTCAAACTGACCCAATTTGTGTATTACCTATCGATAAGGATAGGTACAAAAATGTAGAGTAGCTTTCGTTGAAATTTCTTCTGAGACATAAAAATATAACGTTACTATAGTGTCCTGGAAGCACTCGTCTTGAAATATACTACAACTTATAGCGCCTATGGAGAAAACTCCGCAATCGGTCAAATTTCTGAAGAACCCTTGGAAGTCCATTCACTACGTTTGTAGGTGGCAACAAAATTGCAAAATCTGAACTTTGTTTCACATTACCATGGCTTCTTGCCTTTGTCAAAGAAATCAATGCGTATTCTACGCACTGCTTTGTTGCCTACAAACTGGATGCCGTGACGCACGGTTCAAAGTCTAGGCAAATGCATACCCTACTGCTTTGGTTCCATTTGGTATATGGGCCAATGCCTAAGTCTGTGGCTGAATAGGCGCACGATCTGAATTCCCATTAATGAATGTTTACTCTACCAGTAACGCAACTCATTTGTCACGCTCTGCCTTGGGCCTGACAGCCGTAGGAACTGGCAGTGAAGGCGGAGAAATTTACCGGCAAAGACAAGGGAGGCTGGAATGGCCAGTTCTGGCTTATTAGCCGTTGTCAGCCAGTCTTATCCAGATCCAAGTGGCGTCCCACCCGAGCCTCCAAATCGCGAACTCTTTGATCAGGGTCAAACGCCCTAACCGTTGAGCCAGGAGATCGTTGTCTTTCTGGCTAGGTCGAGAGATATTGACACTCATTGATAAACGTTCACCTACACTGCCTACACTACCAGCTGATACGGCTGTTAGGGCCTCTATTGAGATTCCAGGCAGGGCAGGACAGATAAGTTCAGTTAGCGGTCGGGTGAGCGTTCATCAGTGAGTGTCAATATCCCTTGAACTAACCCGGCAATACAACGAGCTCGTGGCTCAATGGTTAGGGCTTTTGAATCCGATCGAAGAGGTCACGGGCTCGAGGCTCGGGTGGGACGCCAATAAGGTTTCGGCATGACTGGCGGACGACGGTTAATAAGCCAGAAATGGCCATTCCAGTCTGTTTTGTCTTTGCCGGTAATACAATTTGGACTCTGTTGAAAAAGCTTCTTTTTACATCTCAGAGCTAATATTGCCCTTATTTAAATAGTTAGTTTGTGACTTTTTAGCATGCAAACAAAAGTACAGAGGATGAGCACGAAGGGAGAATATTAAGATATAATTAAGCCAGTTTGAGGATTCCGACTCACCTTCGCCGATGGCACTGGACATCAAGGTCGATATGTCCCAATCGAGAGGAAAGCAGACGGATCCATCTGACTGGACTCTAAACCGATTGCCGCATCACTTTCCACCAAGTATGGACAAAGTACTCCAAAATCCCCCATAAATTCGTCATTGTTTGGCCCCTTCTACAGAAATGGAATATATAACAATTTATAGTTAATCTTAGACATAAAAAGTGAATAGTTTATTAGTGAATTCGCAACACTAATAATTTCAATAATTCTGTCGCCATTGCAAGGAAAGTTCCATATTTTTGTGGGTTTTAGAAATAGTAGTGAAGGAAGAATCTAGTAACCCGTTTGCTAGTTCCATTAGTAATCGGAACACTTAACCACATTGGGCTCGAGTCTTTAATTAGGAACCGGATTGATCGACGGTAGAATTACTTTTTCTCAAATATGCTGGTCTGACTGCGCAAATTTCTAACCCTTCTGAAACGAACTACACGTGTGATATCCAGCTTCCTTCTTTAAAGTCTTTGAAAGAATCCATTGCAACCCAAGGGAAAGACATTCGTCGGGCGTATGTGAGTGCACATCTCGATTATGGTAAACACTACTTCCGGAAACGTCCTGTAGTTATTTTTTAGTCTTTCTTACATTTAAACATTACCAAAAGTGTTCGCTGTAAGAATAATGTTGAAGTTTTTTATCCAATTTTATTTCAAATACCTTTCACAAAAACAATTTGGCACACTTTTCGTTTTTATATTCAGACTCCTCGACCACGGTTGAGGCGGGGCAAATACCCTGGAGAGTGGAAGTGTACACCAGCGAACGACTAAACGCGGGATCGAGCGCCCGTCTAACCATTGTACTCTACGGATCAACAGGAAAGTCGGAGGAAGTAATTCTGACTGACGAACCAACAAGTGATCGGCGAAAACGCTTCATAGCGGGATCATGTGCGACCTTCATCGTAAAAATGCCGCCAGTTGGGCAGCCATACAAACTTCGGATAGGTCGCGATAATCACGGGATAACCTCAAACTGGCATCTGGAGAAGGTGAGTTTGTACACTTATGCATTTATAGCAGAAACGTACCGGGAAAGATATGTATATTCCTTTGGAAAGAAAATAATTATCGCTTAAGAAATGTTTCCCTAAGTCATTAAAGCTGTAGACGGTTTACAACAACTGTAACCTATATTTTCTTGCCTGCGATCGATATTTTCAGGGTCTGCGCCAAAGTAGTTTTATACATAAAGTTTTTTTATGTAAAGTAAATCGACTTGCAGCTAGCATTGTACTCATATCATTTGATGTTATCTAGCACTTTACGTCGCTCCCACTGGATTAAACGGAACATTTTAGCAAGAAAATCCGTCAAGTCTCCATTCCTGATATGCCTGAGGACAACCTACTTCATCTCCTAGGATTTTATCTAGAAGCTAAATTTCCCTGCGCCAAACGTACCATCGGCGTTTATTAAGAGCATTTCTTGGTTCATCTCTATCCGTATACGGAAACAGGAAGTCAAGGTACTGCACAATAATAGCATTGCGCCACATAGGTGCTATAATTTTAATCGTAAGGAAGATCGGTTCATTATGATTCGAAAAAACTTACGTGTGCATTTAAAGAAATACAGGTGGCCTTCCAAATGGATATTGCTGGACACATCCCATTTATAGATGCCTCAAGAAACAACCGACTACTTCATACCCCAGTATGGCTGCGTCTGCCTCTGTGTTGCCTGTGCTTGTTTCGTCCCCATACAAGTTGGCCACCTTTGTATCACGTGAATCGCCATCTCACCCTGGCTTTTTACACGCCCGTACGAGTTGGCAGCAAAAATAGTTGGCGGCCCCGATTGTTCCAAGCCACGACTATCTCCCTGATAAGAATGCTTGTTAAACCCAATTGGAAATGGGCTAATTGAGCTGGCGGTTTACTGAGCATTCGTTCAACATCCAGGCTTTTCTAGTCTGTTTTTCTGTATTATCTTCACCTCGGCCCGTGTTCTACTGACTTCAGTGAAGTTTCGGGATGTTCAACTATGTTGGGCAAAGCGACTGACATCTTCAAACACCAATATATGAGCACCAGGTGGTTGAAAAGGTTTGGACCCAAAGTTTGAGGAAGCAGCCCAGGCTGCAGAGTTAGGGCATCCCCTCAAAAGTGACGCAGTTAAAATTGTGAGCCGAAGTAAAGATCACACACAAAGGGAGATTACAAAAACATGGATGGCGGACGAACGTTTAGTATATTACCACCTGAATTTACCACCCCGTACCTGATTTTACGTACCTTCTTATCAGGTGAAAGTCGTGGCATGAAACAATCGGGACTGCCAACTATATCTTCGGCCCACGTGTACGGACGTGTTACAAGCCAGGGTGAGACGGAGGTTCACACGATACAACAGGTGGTCAACTTGCGTGGGGAAGAAGCAAATACGGACAACACAGAGACAGATATAGCCATACTATGGGCGTTCAGCAGAAGGATGGCTGCGAGGATACACTTGAAAGTGAGATGGACGTCATTTGCAGCGGCCCAGCCAGTATTAACAGGCTACGCACACGCAAAAGAGCAGCAGATAACGAGAGCCGCGAGACGGAATGTTCAGTGTCTGTGTGTGAACGTTTTAGGGAACTGAAAAAATATATTTTCTTAATATAATGCAAGCTCTTCCAAGAGGCATTATATCCCAGTTGATTAAACTGAACTGTAAGAATATTAGGAAACAGTAGCAGGAACGGGTTCTGCTATTGTTTCCTACTCATGTCTCTGATGATGAATCCGCGACGGGTTTCGAAACATCAGGCGAATAAACGTATTGCCCCAGCGATCGAGTCTTCTTCTTTTTAAAGGTATTGCTTAAGTTGGTATGCTATACACTCTTTCGGCTTCGTTCTCATCCGCAAGTTTCCTCTGATATTCAGATTACAGGATTAGGCTCAAATGTGCCTTTAGTTTGTGGAGCAGCGTTTGTCTGACATTTTGAATTCATGCTTCGAATCGTCATTCGCGGAAATAAACCCTCCTTCTACAGAATTGAACCATTTACCTCTCTCTTTAATGTTTCCATTAAACTTACAAAAAAGATAAGCCCTGCAATGTTTTATTGAGTTATTGTAACAGTTATGTTTGGCAAACCCGCCGAAAAACAGCTCGCAGAGGACGAGAAAATTGATCTGGTTTTCAGACACCCATAATTCCCTGTATCCTAATCGGTGCCCAAAATGTTGTTGAACTTAAAGCTGCTACGATGCATGCATAAAGAGGCTTGAAAACAACCTTTTGTGGCTCTATTAATTGTAGGTTTCCAAGAAGTCAGCCATAAAAATTAATTTAAGTAGCATTGAGCATTTTTCCTGGGTGTTCCCTGATACCCAAATATGTGTTCATCCTGCTTCGAGACGTAATTGGTTTTTACTTTTACGTATTATTACGCATACCATTCTTTCTTTAACTGCATTTACTGAAACAAATTATTTGAAGTGTCATTACCTAATTTCCTTCTTCCACTGCTGGTGCTTTTTGCCTGCACGAGTTAAATCAGCGTATCGTCGTAATTTTCGACAAATATTGATCTTCTGTTTATCCCGTGATATATTGCCGGTCGTTTTCCTGTTTTTATTCTACCTGAACGATCGGTTAAAGAATTTTTTCGGAGTAATTAGTGAACACTGGTAGACCTATTTGACTATCCTCCACGGTTTTAACATTTGCAGGCAAGCATAAATTGTTCTACCACATTCTTAGTACTAGCTAATTGCTGACACTAAAATATCTAGCCTAGAGCAGCAATTGGCTGTTTTAGTCAGAGGGTTGCTACTAAGTCGAATCGAATGAAGCATATTCAGTTTTGTCTGCTGCGATAAATGGTTATTGCTCGTAAACAAATGAATGATAATTTTGACTACTAATCAGTGTATAGTCAGGACGACATAAATTTGGTTTACTGTTTGCCTTGATTTTACTGCATCGCCAAGTTTTTTTTATTACATTAGCAAATACAAAAGTATAATTACAGGGTAGGTCAAACTTGTAATATCAATATCAAAATGAGATAAATAAGTGGCTATTGTGTATTTAATTACCATTCGGCCGTTTTCTCAACTTACCTTTCTCCTAATCACAATTCCATACATCCGAAATTGCGCAAAAATGTTTAGATTCAGATAAAATTGCATGGATTTACAAGCAGCTGATTGAAGTATCCCCATCGCTTTTTCCTAGCCATCCAATTCATTTTATTTTCGGAGAATTTAGTTAACATCCTTTCCGTCGGGCAGACCGTTCAGCCTCTTTAGTCGTATTTGCAGTCGTCCTGTAGCTCTACAATTTTAAAACGGACCATTTCAACATAAGTATTTTATTGCTACTGGAATCTAACTAGCCAGGTGGTTTTGGATTTTTTTGAGGCCAATGCGAATGATCTCCACTGACTACCATACCCTCGGGTTTTTAAGGCAAAATAAGTCCGCGGGTATATTGAAGATTGTGACTCTGGCCTCCGCTTTTCTCAAAGGGTTACCAAATGACCTGGAGGTGCCAAGATCCGAGTAAGAAGAACGACTGACAATTTACTTTTTTTGATGTTTAATGTGTTGTAGGTCGTTTTGCAAAATTTATTGGATGGCAAGTCCTACTACTTTCCATGCAGTCAGTGGATTTCGGGAGATGCTGGCGGGGGCATACTATATCGTGAAATGCCGGCGTCCGGAATCAACGTCCCCAATCCTCCACAATGTATGTCACAAAAGCACACAAAACGATTAGATTAAATGCGACTTTTGGCTAAAATGTTGATATTCGATGCATTACGATCTTGTTATGGCTGCATATGTGCACATTTGTTTGAAAGGATTAAAGTTCAAGTAAGGATGGGATCAATGTATGAAAAATAACCGCAGTAGATATTACTGATAAAAATGGAAGAGCCTGGTTATTACGATATATATTCACAAAATTTTGTGCGTTTAAAGCTGATTGAGTTGCTTTACTGTGCGCAAACATATTTCATTGAGAATGCATATCAGATAAACTTTACGCCTAATGACACTTATTCAATAAGTTTAACCGAATAGTATATAACCGTGGGTTATGGTTAAAGAAATGGTCAAGCCCGAGTAAACATTTTACCGAACTAAGAAATTCAGACAAGCAGCATTCAATAAAATTTCGGAATTTCCCTCACTTGTAAAATATTTGTTTCTCATAACAAACGTTAACAAATTTACACAGATCGGTCGCGTTTTTTATGACTGTAAAATATGATAATCGTTATTTGTCATAAGAATAGGCTGTTGATCGTTCACCTACACTGGAACTCATTGTTGTTTCTCCGTTTGACATAAAACGGCTATACGACATCTAGTTAGCTACAACATATTCAGTTTAGTTTTCTTTCATGCTATGTTATGGTTCGATCGATGAATTCTGAATTTTTAAATAGTCTTTATCGACCGAATCCTTTCCAGTGGTATGTTATCTTGTACTATTATATGCATCTATATAAGAATCCGTATACAATTTTTATTTAGATGTAGGTCGGATTTAATATATGGACAACTTATTGTGTTTTTTGGGTTGATTCTTATCTTTCGTTTCTTTGTTGGATCCGCTACCTACCGCCACTTAATTCGTAAGAAACCAAACGTAAATAAATCTTTTAGTTTAGTAAAAGTGGCACCAGTAAGGCAGTAATTACCTGCTGCCTAAAATAACCACTTCTAACTTTCTCTTTAAAAATGCCATTACTTAATTTTTACACAAAACAAAAAGGTATCAGACCATCATACAGCAACTTGCGCGCATTCGCCAATTACGCTGGGAAGAGTTACAAATTTCTAGCGCGTCTTAATTGATTATTTGCAGTGGAGAAGACCATCTTGCGTCTGAGTTCTGGCCCAGTGGTTTAGTTCTCTGTCACAAACAGCCGCTGTTACTTGCGGTGTGTCACCGAAAGTGATATTAATCGAAGTTTCAAATTAGGAAATAGGGCTTAGTATGTTAATTTTGGCCTGAAAAGATAAGGCGGCAACGGTCGTTTGTTGTTGCATAAGCTCGGAAGACGAAGAAGCGATCACTGGAACAAGTGGTTTATTGTCCTGACTTTTCGGATTCCCTCGGGAATCCTTAATCACAGGTAATAGAAGAACAGTCTGAGACATGCGCAGATAGGGTGATACATGCACA